AGGCCTAACTCTAATTAGTATAAGGAAGATATAGCGTTTATTGTACTACTTTTACTCGTAGGCGAAAATATAATTAATATAGCCAATACTATCGTCGTTAGCCCAAGCCCCGGCGCCGGGCCGGTAATACCTAATATAATTACCGATACCGAAGGTATAATATCGGAGTATATTAAATATAAATTGAATATTGATCTATACTAACAATTCTTCTAATTTCAATAGACTAGAGTACTCGGGCATATTCGTAAGTAGTATCTTTATATATATATATAATATAATAATACTAATATATACAACTTTATACCGACTTTATGCTAGTCGTATATATATATTACATTAAGTACAGTAGCGAAATTCATATAATAATATCTTAATGTAAATACCGCTAATACTTAATCCTAAAATTTGGTAATTAGCGCTTAGGGAGTTTAGTATCTCGGTATAGAAGTATAGGTAGGGGAATAATAGGTACTATAGGCATAGTATAGGTATAGGCCTAGGGATTGGGGAACTCTAGGCATATAGGATATATACGTACCTATTTATAAATAATATACACTTACTATACTATATATTACTAGCAATAAACCTCAATATATTAGGGATACTGTAGTCTAAATTATATACTCTAAACAAAGTACAGCGAAATAGATTAGATATTAAGGCAACGAATAATAGTAAATAAAATTTAGTAATGGGGTAGTAAATTCGCTGTATAGTCGTTTTTATAAACTTGCTAATAAGATTCAGCCGAATATATATATTATTAGCGGAATTTAGGATATTGAATTCTAATTCTTTAATTATTTTAATTTTTCGTACACTAGGCTATTAATTTTCGTCTTAGTAAATTAAACTCTTAAATAGACTAGGGACTTCCCTAATAATATAGTTAATCTAATCAGTCAATTCAATATCGTCAGCGAACGAATTAAATAGCGCAAATCGAATAGTATAAATAATATACTCCTATTTTAGGATCCACCTTTCAACATCTCTACAATCAATCGTTTCTACTATCTTTTTGAAGCGCCTATCCGTATTATTATCAATATCTATTTAATTAACAACGGCTATTATCCTAGCACCGGTTTTATATATCAAATTTATAGTCTAAATCACATAGTTCAATCTACCCTAGAATATCAGCTAGCCGCCTATACCTATACCTATACCTATACTTATACCTATGCCTATGCCTATACTTAGCGGGCGGGCGGGCACTAAAATTTCAATTTAGGGGTAACTACTTCGAGGATTTAATTTACTTATAATACTTTTCTTCCGCTAATATATTTAATAAACTAAGCGGACTGTAATATTCGTAAAGCTTGCTGTAATATATACCCAAATAAACGTTTAACTATAGTATTTCTTTAATATACTTCCTAACCTACTTAGGGAGGGTAATTACTTCTACAACGGCCGTAGTAACTACACCGCCTTCTTTGTCTTCTGCTATAATATTATTTATATTTTCTTTATTAGGGCCTACTACTATACTTATAGCCTCAAATATTAATAATCGTTCAAACGATACCTATAATAGTAATTATATTAGCCGAGCTCGAATCTGGAATAAACCCGCTCTTGGATTATTAGTAGTAGCTTGTACTACTACATTATATAGTTTAATATACTAATATCTAGCAATCAAAATATAATATTCTATATTACTATACTCGGATTTCGTATTTTTATTATTTATTAATATACAATTACTTTAAGCTATAGTAGCCAATACTCTAATAAAACGAAAGAGTAGCCGAATATCTACCTCTTTATTATTATTATCATTTCTATAATCTAATTGAATAATAGACTTCTATACTTCCTATATATAATACTCAATATAGTCTTTATAAAACCATATTGCAAATAGTAGAGGCGTAATAATAGACTATTTAGTATAGTTAAAGTATACTTTAGACGGTAAGAAATAAGCGAAGGCAACGAAGTCTAACCGGAAGGAAATAGCCAATACCGTATAATATAACTATACTCAGTTTGTACTTTTAGTATTAGGAAGATATCCAAAAGTATTTCGTAGGTTTCAACTATAATACCCTTATATTCAGAATGTACTAAGTTAGAAGGCTGTATTAAGATTATATCGAGGGCTAGTATTAAATTGAAAAGTACTAAGCGACTTAGACTAATCCCCTATTGAATTCTATACATTACTTAGTAGCCTTTAGTAATAATATTAATATCGACCTCCTATCTTATCTCTATATACTAGTAATGATACCAATTAATATCTAGCTAGAACCCTTCTAAAACATTTTATTGATTAATAATATAATCTAGGCCGATATAGTAGAATTAATGGAATTTATAGGCAGCTATACCAATTATACTAATATTTTAATTTTACTATAGCATATTGCCAATATAATACAGGGTAAATACTAATACTAAAATTAGCCGACCTTCAATTTATATTATTACTATACCTCAATCCAAAGGTATTAAACATCCTAGAGCTTTAATAACATTATTAAAGTTTAATACATAGGGTCCCAATACAATAGGGAAAATATTAGTACTACGAACTCAAATATTATAGAGCAAGCCAGCCGGTAACTGGTAAACCCCTATAATAGATCTATATATATTACAATATATACTAAATTTATTAAAAAAAATTAGAATTAAGCAATTAATTACTTTAAGACCGGGGTTATTAATTTTATCCTAATATTCTTCAAAGGATATACAGCCAAATTCTTTAAATTCCAATTGTATTTAAAGGGGTTGTATAAATACAAGCGGTAAAATCTTAAACTTAATAGTAGATATAACCCTGGAGTTTTCGTACAGTGGATTTTATAAATTAATATTAATTTAATATATATTTACTCTATCATTTCCAGCTGTATTTAGGATATAGCGTATAAAGTAATACCCATCCTCCTATTCGATATTTGGTTCTATTATATACTTTGTGAACCGTCTTTTTTCCTTCTTCCTAATCTAAACTAGTAGACTAGGGTCATCCAGATTATTACTATCAAAATAATTAACAATAACAGGTATAAACTAGTCAACCCATTCTTAAAGAATTTAGTACTCCTAATCGAAACGTATAACTAATTCGTACTATTCGAATGTTATATTATAACCAATCTAATAATAGGTACCAAGTCCCGGAAACTCTTATTCTACCTAATTAATATCCAGATATTCGTTAATAATCAAAGTAATTTCACTAATATACTACTCAACCTCGGTAACATAATTTTTACCCACAGCCTTTATACGGCCGATATAAATATAATAATTAGAGTAATCGTCTAATAAGCAGCAAATATAATTACCAGTCTCTTTATAATAATAGAAGTAGATAAAGTCCAATAGAAAGATAGCCTTACTAGTATCTGTCACGGGGCGCGAGCAAGCACTAAGGTAAGACTTTAATTGTTGTGTGAGGAATAGGAAGAGAATCTTGTGCGCGCACGAGACCTATGTAGAGCACGCTGTGGATCCGGGTACACACGGACCACAGCACGTATACACGTAACTACTATACTATACTTAGGCAACTATATAATTAATTGTACTAATATAGTATAGTACCCTCTATCTATATATAGGAATATAGCAGTAATACCTTTAATACTACTCCCCTCTCAAAATAATATTCCCGTTCGAAAAATCCGTTATTATATTTATTATTAATAAAGTGGGGGCCGCCCGGTCTTCCCGTGGCTACGCCTAAATAGGAGCCGGTAAAAATTTTACTAAGGCGGAAAACTACTTAATGTCCGTTAGTATTTTAATTCCTATTTAGGGGCGGAATATTAGCTAAAATATCATTAAATTTAACCGTTCTACCGTAAGAATTATTATTACCCTTAATAATCTATTTATATACTGTAAATTAATCTAATTAATATATATAGAGAACCTTAACGACTCTTATTATTATTAGCCCCTCTAAGAGTACTATAGGGATGCCCGTAGTATAGCGGTTTACGTAGGACGCCTGTAGCTACTATTAGTATAAATAGTATAGAGACCTTTAATTCGAATTTCGCTAGTAATTACTATTTTCATTAACTTTACCCCCTTTAATTCCCCTAATTATTATTTCTATTAATTCTAATTTATTTAATTTTTATTTATAGTGGGAGTGGGCCTTCCGGGGGAATAGAAGAGTAAGACCGCTATAAGACGTACTATCTTTCAGTACCGTTAATAATCGCTTTAAAAAAGGGTATACTAAGAGGTATTCGATTAGTGTGTGCGGAATAAATTGAGCTAAACTCCTTTCTTTTTACTTTTATTATTTATTATTTAATCTCGCGCTTCTTCTTATTTGCCGGTTGTTTATTATAGGTGCCGCTATAGTTAGGATTGCGTATTGGGTTTTGTCTTCTAGGGTTGTTTTAATCTTGTATTATATTTTCTATCCTTTTCGCTAATTCTATTGTATACGAACTAGCCTTTATAATATAGAACGGCCCTTTAAACTAGGGTACTAATTTATCATACGGACGTCCAATAGCGTAGTTATTTATATTAAATATTATTTTATTACCGACTTTATATTTAGGGGTATCTATATATTATTTATTTACTACCGCCTTATAACGTTCTTATATTTATAAAGAGAATATTTTAATAAAAATCTAGATTTCTTTAAAGTGTATTACTAATTGGTTAGTATTAAAAATTTACTTCCGTTATATATCTATAACGTTTAGGGGTAACAGCGCGGTCGGCTCTATACCTATTCTAGGGTAGAACCTATAATTGGTAAAGAATAGGGTAATTCCTATTAATACGGATTTGAGATTATTCCTTTAAAATTCAGTTAGAAGTAGTTAATCTACTTAATTATTCTATACCTAATTAATAAATATCTATAAATATTATTCTATTTCAGCATTAATTCTTTTAGTCTAACTATTTATTTCCTTATAGTAAGGGGTGGAGAGCTTTAGTTTAATACTTAGTTTTTGCGATAGTTGCTTTTAAAAAACGGATATAAATTAAATACTTCTATTAAATATAATAGTATTTAGGAGGCTATAGAGTGTATAAATACGGTCGATAAACTTCTCTACTAACTCTCCTATTAATAACCCTTCTACCGGAATGAAATATTGTATTTTTATAAGCATATTTACTATAATTAATATATATTTGTACTTAACGCCCCTACCTACTCTTTTTAATTTAGAGAATGGGGTTACATAGTCGATAGAGATATTCCTCTAAAGGGTATATAGGATTAATAGTAGTTTTAAAAACCCTATTAGCAATATTCTAGTAGCTTTAGTCTTGCTATAAGGAATATATACTATATAATAAATATTTACTGCAACGATTATTCTTGGTTAGAAATACCGATATATTAATACTACTATTTTATTTTTACCCGGGTAACCTCCTTATATTAATAAGTAGGTACGGTGGATCAATTCTAGTTGGACTTTCTCGTCGTCCGGGGGGATTACTAACCTATTTTAAAATATTACCCTATTATTAATTATATAATACTTAACGAAGGGGATTTTTAACTTCTTCCTTAAGTACTTCGGCTAGCGGTTTCTAGCTCGGATCGCTTTTCGAATATTAATTATTATAGGAGAGTTAGTATAAGTACAGTTTATTAGATTATCCGTATAAATGCCCGGCCCTTCCTAATCTTCCTCCTTAAGGCTATCTTCTAGAATATATATAATGAGGGGAGCCCCGTCTTTAAATATAATATTTATTGTAAATCCCTCGCCCTCAATATCCAAAAGTTGCCTATTATTAAATAATTAGTTAAAACGGTCTAGGTTAATAAATAACTTCTTCCTAACTTTTAATCTATCGTCTATTTCGTTTTTAGGAATGTGTTCTAGCTTTCGGCTTAGGGCGTTAGGTTTAACGTTCATTAACCCCGGTCGGTACTTAATTATAAAGTTAAATTTGGATAGGAATTTAGATAATTATATATATTAGAGGGTAAATCTCTTCGTAGTACTAAACGTTTTTTAATTTTTATAATCCGTAATAATTTTAAAAGGTTGGGTAACTCCCTTTAACTCCGGCCTCTACTCTTCTAACGCTTTAATAACCACTAATAACTCCTTATTATATATATTATAGTTATATTCGGCCGCCTAATATTTTATTGAGAAATAGGCTACTAAGTAGAGCTCTTTATTATATATTTAAGAGAGGGTGCCTCCTAATAACCAATTTAAAGTATTAATTTTAACGACTATAGGTTTCTCCTAATTATAAATCTTTAATACTAGTACTAATATAAACGCCGTTTTTAAGGATTTAAAAGCTTTATTATATTCTTTGTCCTACCTCTATTTAATTATCCTTTTTATTAATTTATATAATAGTTTACCTATATAGGAAAAGCTAGTAATAAATCTTCTATAGAAGTTCGTAAATCCTAAGAATTATTCTAACTAGCGTTTGTTTATTAATACCTCCTATTTAGTAATTGCTACTACTTTTTCGGGATTTATTTCGATATTACCTAGGGTAACAATGAGCCCTAAATATTTAATTCTTTACATATAAAATTCGTATTTATTAATATTAATTTGGAGGCCCGTATTAATTAGCCGTTAGAGAACTTCCCGGACGTATTTAACATAATCTTTATAAGTTTCTAAGAAGATTAAGATATTATTAAGGTAGGTAATTATATAAATATCAAAAATATTATATAGTATATTGTTAATAAAATTCTAAAAAGAGGTTAGTACTCTCAAGAGTCTAGATAGATAGATTAGGGATTCGTATAGCCCAAATCGTATAATGAATATTATTAGCTATTTGTAACCTTTAATTATTTATAATCTATTAAATACTACGGTTATGTTGACTTTAGTAAATTATTTAACCCTACAAATAGCGTTTAGCATTTCTTTAATTAATAGTAACGGGTACCAGTTTTTTAAAGAGATTTCGTTAATACCCTTATAGTTAATATAAATTCTTATACCGCCGCTTAATTTCCTTACTAATAAGATTAGGAAGGCAATATCCGAAGTTAATAGTCGGATAAATTCCTTTACTCAATTATTATTTAACTATTATTTAATAACCTTTAATTCCTAAAGTAATATTAGTCTTGCCCTAGAGTAGGGTAACGATTCTATTCCCAATTTTAATTCAATTTTGTATTTATATAAATAATATTTAGGGATTATTTCTACGTCTATAGGGCTTATAATATATAATAGGTCTTTATACTTATTTGGAAACCGGGCTTTTATTTGCTCTAGAATATACTTCGGCTTTATAAACTTCTCTATAAACTTCTATATATCGTCTTCTATAATATTATAAATCTTATTAATTTCTATTAATACTATAGGGTCTATTCTATCTTTATTTTCTAATTCCAATTTACAAATACAATCAATAAAGTTATAGGCTACCTCTCTAGGTTGGAGGGATTATTCGCCGATATTCTTACTTGCGGCTTTTCTCTTATATAGATCGATAAATTTATAAATTTTAATATTCTTAAAATAATATTTATAAAATTCTCCTCTACTTTGTATAATGTCCTTCTAAGCGTTTTTTAATAAGGTTGGTATTAAAACGGTCTCTTTTTTTTCTTTTTATACTTCTTCGAATTCTACCTATATAGTAGAGTTTACTTGGACCCCCCTTAATCTAATATTAAATATAAAGGTCCTTATATTAATAATTTTGAAATCTGCTAGGTTTAGTATTACTATAGTAATTATAGGTTTAAAGGGTTAGAATATAATTCGCTTAACTCTTTTTAGTTATAGTATTATTTAGATTCTTTTCCCGCCGATAATTCGTACTTGTACTTTAAGCTTTTCTAATAAAGGCTTCCATTCTAAATTAAATAATTCTTCGAATTTGCCCGTATAAATTAGTAGGGACGGGTATTCTATTATTATAGCTTAGCTTCCTCTAGGGGCGTTTATAATATTTATTATTTAATTAGGGAGGTCCTCCTCTTCGGTTTCGGTTTCATCTTTAGGTTCTTCTATCTCGGCTTTATCTTCGGGTTCTTCTATTTCTTTAATTTCTTCTAGGAATATTATTACTTCTAAAGGTTAATTTATATATATCCCTATATATTTAACGTTCTAAATAATTTCATTAGCTATTTAATTAATATTTAAGTTATAAAAATATAGCTACAATTATTCTAAAATAACCAGATAGTCTATTACTAAATTAGTTATAAAAAAGCGAATAATCTCCTTATAGTTATTAATACGTATAGTAGCTTTAATATATTAATTTGCCTATTCTTTAAATACACCGTCGGCTAAATATAGTAGTTTTAGCATCTCTAGTATTTTGAGCTCTAAATAAGCTTTTTCTATAGATAAGTAGTCGATAAAAGTTTTGCCCGAATAATTAAAATCGATTAGAGATATATATTCTACTTTACTATTATATTAGGGATATTAAGGATACGTAGAAAGAAGGGTTGTATTTTGCTTATAGAGTTCTAAATTACTTAATTTAAATAGCTCTATCCTCTAATAGTTAAAAGTACGAACATTAAATCTACTTATCCTTATCTTTCCTCTTTATATCCCAGAATACTCCGGGGCGCAATTTAGCCCTAGGGTTCGCTATTTCCCTATTAAGCTAGGATAGCGGGGGTTAAAGCCGCCAGGGCTACTAATACTACCGGTATAGGGTTAACCGTATTTATTATAGTACAGTTAGTAATTAGGGTTCCTACGCTAGACCTTTGGCGTATAGTAATACCTAAACTAAATTGGTTGGCCTACTTGCCTCTAGGACTATAATTAGTATTATTTCTATAATCTTTAATTAAATACCTTCTTTTACTATAGTTCATATAATTACCCTTATTATAACGTTCTTATAAAACGTCCTTATAGATCTCTATAAACTTTACACAATTAATATCTATTAAATTAGGATTTTTTTATTTATTATTACTACTGCTATTATTGTTACTGCTATTATTATTATTATTAGTCGTTGAAATATAATTATTACAGAGCGATACCTTGGTATATATTTTAGTAATACTACGAAATAGGTTTAACTATCCTTTTTAATTATTATACTCTAATTAGATATAATAGTAAGAGATTGAATTAACTATAAACTTAAATACCTTTTAGTATAGGAGTTGGACTTTAATAATTATATTATAATTGTAATAGTTTATTAGTAAAACGAATTTAACTTTAAAATCCTTATAGTTAGCGTATTTTCCGGCTTATTTAAAGCTTAGTAGTTCTTTCTCTACAACGGCTACAAAATTTCCCTACTTATAACGCTCGTTTAAATAATTGAAGAACTCCTCGCCTATTTTTTATTTCTAATAAATTAAATTATAAGGGTTATTTAGGATAAATTGATAATACTTATTAATATTAACCTTAGTTTTTCTATTTAAGTAGGCTATAGTATAGAGGAGTTTAGATAGCTAGTCGGGAAATTTATATTTATCTATTAATTAACAGTTATAAATAATTAAATTCTAAGCGCTATAAGCGTTATAGCGCTTAATTGTATTTATTTCTTCGCTATTAAAGTATTCAGGGTCTTTATAAAGAGCCTTATAGTAGTAGTTAGGCTACGTAGGGAAGGATAGGTAATTTTTAAAATTATTAGGACTTTTAGGGTTGCTGGGACTTCCGGGTTATTTGGGGAATCCTCTACTAGGGAAACCTCTACCCGGGAATCCTCTACTAGGGAATTTTCTACTACTATTAAGGAATTTTCTATTTCTAAAACCGCTACTTACTTTACTAGAATTAAAGCCAGTCCTTTTACCCGATCTATTAGGGCTATTATTACTAGGACTACCACTTACGTTACCGGGGCTAAAGCCAGTTCCTTTATTTAATCTTCCGGGGATACTATTACGTCCTATACCGCTAGTATCCTCGTCCGCGATATTTTCGACTGTAGTTTAAAATTTGCTTCCATTAGTATTAATTATATTAAATTATTTTCAAAATACTATTAGATTATTCTTAGCGACGAATATACTCTCTTTAATTAGGCGGAGGTCGTTTTAGACGGTTTTAATATCTTTCTACATCTTAGTAGATTCTTCCTATGCAATTTTAGCCACAATGCGTATACTATTGTATTCCTATTTAAATTCGTTAAATATAGTATTAACTATAGCTAGTAAGTCGAGGATATTCTAATAATCGTTTTCCTTCTTAGTAATAATCTTCGCTATACTATTCTCCTAGGCTACTTTCTCTCTTTCGGCTATAATTAACTTTTACTCTAAGGATATATTATTCTTAAGGATTTAGTTATATTAAATTTATAGGACTTTTAATTAGTCTACGAATTGTTTTTAAATACCTTCAAATTTATTAATACAATTAGTAATCTGCCCTATCTCCTAACTTATTTTTTTAATGTAGGCCTCGGCGTTGCGCTTATAATTTATAAATTTCTCCTATTTAGCCGTAACGTTTTTATCGAGTAGTTTAATCTTTTTATTAAAGTAATATAAAAGTTTTATAATTTCTTCGTAATTCCTAGCTTATATTACGAAGTTAGGTGAAACCCGAAGGCTAATATTAGAATTATTACTACAAATAGCGAATAATATATTAAACCTTTTAAGTAGAGAAGGGAAAATTATAGCGAAGTTAATTTAATTATTATTATAATCTTAGTTATTAAATATCTTATTTAAATAAATAATTAGGTTACTAAAGTAAATAATTGGGTTAACAGCTCATTAATAATAAAAATGAGAAAAGAAATATTGTTTTATTATATTATATAATGCGATAAATATGCCCTTATCATTCTAAATATTTATTTACTGTTCTGGAGGTCGACCTTGGTATTGTTGGAGTCTCTAATTCGTTATTAATAATTGTACGATTCGTTAAAGAATAAATTTCGCGAAAACCGAATTATTATATCAGCTTTTACTAAACTTAATTTAACCGAAATTACTTATTACGCTTTAATACGAAGGTTAAGTATAATAAAGTATTATAGGGCGCGAGTAAGTACTAAGGTAAGACTTTGATTATTGTACGAGGAATAGGAAGAGAATCCTGTACGCGTACGAGAATTATATAAGACACGCTGTAGATCCGGGTACACACGGACCACAGCACGTATGCACGTGACTGCTGTACTGTACTCAGGCAGCTGCACAGCTGACTGCACTAATGCAGTACAGCACCCTCTATCTATATATAGGAACATAGTAGTAATTCCTGTGACAGTATCTTCTGAATTTAAGCCGCCACCAAAGTGAATATATTTGCTAAAGGTAATTCGAATTAATAATAACCAGCAAAATATATAGTATAATTCTATTCAATTATTTATAAAGTGTACTTACTATCCCTCTATATATTATTATTATAGCGGTATCCGAATTGCGGAAGGCCTAGAAAAGGGAGTATAGGTCTATAAAATATAGGGGTCCTAAGACCGTCGATAGGTCTATATCTTTATCTTCTTCGCTACTATACTATTACTATTACTATTACTATCTTTTACAATCAACCGATTCAATTTTTATCTTTAAAGTCTATAATAGAATTTTAGCTATATGTATATCTAATAATAGTAACTGTCGGGTGGTACGATTTTTTAATATTTCCAATTATTTTAACAGGCGTTAAATATTGATTATAGGTCTACCGTCTTAATTATATAAAATATTCAGAATTTCCAACTGTGCCTTATACTACTTCTATGAGCGCTTATTAATAATAGTATATAAACTAACAACCAAATAAAAATCTAACAAAAATTCGTATCGATTATAGTAACAATAGATCAATTCCAACGTATTAAGAATGAGGCTACGGGTTGTAATACCTTAAGGAATTTCTAATTCTTACTCGATTTATTCTACCTATTTATTTACAAAATCCTCTTTAAATATAATTATTTCTAATTATTATTAGTCAAACTCGCGCTCATTATACTCGAAATTAAATTGTAACTATTCCTTATCGAATCCAATAGGAAGAACGTTATTAGTATTTATTAAATCTTAGATTCTATACCGGATATCTATAATATCTATACC